CAAGAATAGAGATAATTTCTGGCTTTCTAGAGCTGAATATCAGGAACAGGTAATACGTTTAATTTCAATCCAACATAGAAATAAAGTGTACTTTGTTTGAATCCCATATAGATATGAACTGTATTTCGTTTCAATCCAATGTAGAATTAACTGTACTTCCTTACAATCCAATGTAGAATTAAGTATATTTCGTTTCAATCCAATGTAGAATTAAGTGCACATCGTTACAATCCAATGTAGAATTAAGTGCACTTCGTTACAATCCAATGTAGAAATTAAGTGTATTTGCTTTAATGCAATGTAGAAATTAAGTGTATTTGGTTTAATGCAATGTGGAAATTATGTGTACTTGGTTTTAACCCAATTTAAAAATAAGAGTGCTTCGTTTCAATCCAATGTAGAATTAATTGCATTTCGTTTCAATCCAATTTAGAATTAAGTGTACTTCGCTTCAATCCAGCGTAGAAATTAAAAATATTAATAAAGACATTTTTTTCTTTTCAGGGTATATCCTGCCTGAGAAAATTAGGCCCACGGGCAAGTTAATGAAAATTAATTGTAAATCACAAGTATTATTCCAAAAATGTATCATTATAAATAATTATTATTGAAAAATCGCTACTTAAAACACATTTAACAATGAAATATTCCATTTTATAGATTTTGTTTAGAAAAAGTTTAAAACTCTCGTCATGTAATTATCTCAGTGTTTCAGTATATTTTAAAGTAATTTCTTTTACTAAAGACTACAGTTTACAGCGTTTATAAAGAAACTACCTGTTCCCGTGCGGCTTCACCCGCATGTAATTATAAAATTTTATTGTTTACATGTGTCAAATTATCAATAGCAAATGTCAAAATGACATGACATGACAAACCTTAGCAAACCTTTCTTTCTTGATGTTGGCAGCAACTTATGGTCTCTTTCCCACAGGGTTTTTATCCAAAATATTTACCCCTTAAGTTTATTGGCGTGAAAATATATAGCCTAAAGCGTGACGTAAGTGTAGAGCTTTTTATAAAAGAATTATTCAAAAATATGGTGTAATTGCTGACATCTTGGCATCAAAGAAGTGTGTGTTTACGCTTTATTATAATAGTATAGATTTCTGTTATTTCGACCATAACCGTAGACGCTGGCATATATCGGTTATTTACTGATATTGAATATTTTCAGTACTATGTTATAACCGTTTTCAAGTATATATAAGTAAATTTATGTAATTTAAGTTTTTTATATGAAATAATGTCAATTGTTTAAATAACTTGAGCTCTCCATTTATCGTCCATAAAGGTCATATGAAATACATGAAATGGTGAATTTAAAAAAAAAATAAAAAATCAGTTTTACGCAATTTTGAACCATTTGAATGTTAATAAGAGAAAGTTGTATGAAGTAATAATAAAATAAAAAACTATGAACTCCTGACATTTTTTGCTATAGTCCTTTTAATGTTGTTTTATTATGAAGACTGTATTGCATTTATGATTTGCAATAATTTCTTTACAGGCTTTGGTTTTAACATTTTAAATAAACATTATAACTAAGAGATGTGTGTTTTATTGTAAGAAACTACAGAAATGTATATTGAAGTCAACAGATTAAAAAAAAATTAAGTGACAACATACTGAATTATTATAAATTCTGAGGTAACCGTATTTCGATTTTTCCAACATAAAATATCGTAATCCACAATTTTGCCATTTACACCTTTTGTTTTCAAATTACTTATTTACTAGTTTTAGCCTGCGACTCCGTCCGCGTGAAATTAAAAAAAAATACAAAAGTGAGTAGTCTATGTGTTCTTCCAGACTATTATCTACATCTATACCAAATTTCATTGAAATCCCTTCAGCAGTTAAGGCTACAAACAGCCATCCATCTAAACTTTCGCATTTATCATATACTAGCTGTTCGCGTGCGGCTCCATCCGCATAAAATTATTAATTTATTGATTTGCATTTGTCAATTTCTCATTTGCATATGTCAAAATACCAATTAACTTACTATGGCAATCTTGCTTCCTTGATGTTGGCAGCAAATTATGGTCTTTTTCCCACATAACGGTTTTTATTCAAAATATTTACCCCCTAAGTTTAACGGCATGAAAATATATAACCTAAGCTGTAGTTGCTGAGATCTTAGGCAACAAAGAAGTGTGTTTACGCTTTATTATAATAGTATAGATAAGCAAATAATGTATACGCAAATCAAGGGGCCCTGCAATGCTGTTAGTACGAAAACGGCCGAATTCTCTCGAAACTATTTTATTAATACTGCAATAACTTGAGATTTCACGACACAAACTAAATTACTGATATCGAAATTAATTTAGTTTTATATTTTGCATGAAATTCTAATTTAAATTCATCGATTATATGTAATAATCACACATGTGTGTGGGTCGGCAGAAATTATGAACTGAACTTGAAAATGATCCGCAGTCCTTGTACCATTTTTCGCCATCGACATACATAAAAAGACACATCTTAATTTGGTTTAAAAATTTACTAGCTGTTACCGTGCGGCTTCATCCGCATGAAATTATGAAAATTTTATTTTATTGTTTACATTTGTCAATAGCAAATGTCAAAATGACATGACATGACAAACCTTAGAAATCTTTCTTTCTTGATGTTGGCAGCAACCTATGGTCTCTTTCCCACATTAGGGTTTTGAACCAAAATATTTACCCCCTAAGTTTAATGGCGTGAAAATATATAGCCTAAAGCATGACGTAAGTGTAGGGCTTTTTATTAAAAAAAATAGCTATTTAAAAATATGCTGTAATTACTGATATCTTAGGCAACAAAAAAGTGTGTGTTTACGCTTTATTATAATAGTATGGATATATATTTACATGGTCCTTGGAAACCCCATACAGTCAGCCTGAATTGTTATTATTTTGAGTGAATGTAATAAATCTTGACAAGTAATTTCTGGTGATTTTAACAACTATGTAATTATCGAAACTTTACCATAAAATATTACTAGTAAGACTAGTAAAATAGACTAATTACTAAACCGTAACCAACAGTGGTTTTGTCAGTTTACTTACCCCTTTAGTCTATAGTCGTTAGTGTTTTTATTTTTATGTAATTCAAACAACAGTAATTTTTAGTTTACACCGTGAAATTGTTTGAATTATTTTTAATTTAAATTTTGCACGTCAAATTGTTCGTTACACATATAAATATTGCGTACTGCTTTTATTTCTCATTCGTGGTCGGTTTTCAAAAAGAAACCACGATGAAGTCTATTATCTTGTTCTGTGTTCTGCTGCCTTTGATTTACGGACAGGTATAATTTACCACTAGCACTTTACTATCACTACTAGCTTTAACTAGCCAAATTAAAAAAAAAAAAGTTGAGTAAGTAGCCTATGTATTCGTCCAGACTATGTTCTACATCTGTGAATTTCATCGAGATACGTTAAGTCGTTTTAGAAATACAAAAAGACGTATATCCAAACATTCGCATTAATAAAACTAGTAATGGCTTAGATTCTTCGAAAGTAAGTGTTTTCTATTATATAAGAAATTAAAAGAATTTTTTAAAGACATATTAATTTTTTTTTTCTAACTACTTGTTAGCAGAATAACGCTTGTAGTTTAAACTGCGTAAAATGTAAGTTTTAGCATTCAAATTAAATTGTTGCTAATATTAATCTTTAGGGGCTACAGGAGGACCCACCGGAAGAATTTGAATCACTTCGAGGAAAACGTTCGCCTCAAGTGAGTTAGTTTTCACGTTAAAATAAAAGTTATTTCACCCTCTATTATAAACTAACTTGAGTTACAAGAGACTACTTAGTCCAAATAATTAATTCCATTTATTATAAGATGTCAAAAGGGCTCTGCAATCCTCTAGACGCTTTTGTGTGGTTGTGGTATAGCGAGTAAGCTGGCGGTTAAATTTTTATTTTTGTTTAGGGACTTGATAATACAGAGATTCGTGTCGAATTTGAAAGCGTAAGTTTACTTACAATTGTTTACAATTACATTTTAAAAGTTTTCCAGGTTTGTCAATTACATTTATAAAAAAAAAACAATAGGTTTTGTTATACTTAAAACACGGAAGCACTGCTCCTTTCAAGTAATGTTTTGTAAGGGGACTCGCCCGCGACTTCGTTCGCGTCGGATTAAAAAAAATACAAAATCAAGTAGGATATGTGTTCTTCCAGACTATCCTCTACATCTATGACAAGTTTCATCGAGATCCGTTCAGCAGTTTACGCTACAAACTCTAACAAACATCCATCCCTTCATCTAAACTTTCGCATTTACAATATTAAGTAAGATATTAACTATATGGTTATATTTTCTATGTAGCTCGAAAGATGTCGTACTTTCTTATATTGCATTGCGCTTCCTTATTTAGATGTAAGTCAGTAAATGTTAATCCTCAGGCGCTGCAAGAGGACCCTCCAGAAGAACTAGAATCGTATAGGGGAAAACGTTCGCCGCAAGTAAGTGCGTGTCTTTGTATTTTAAAAGCCAAGAGCTTAAAAGACTGAACTGATTTTAACGAGTGAGGTTTCATTTGATTCGTATTTTTCCCCGAAGTTAAGTCCACATCATACGCTCTGTTCTAACTGAACAGTTCGACTCTATAGATAAACTTGTCAGTTAGAACGTACCGTAGCGTAGCGAACGCGCTACAGATTAGAAAAAACACTTTTTATTGGTTACAATTAGTATTATTAACATAAAGATCGATAGATAATAAAAAATCTTAAAATTACAAGTGCATGTTTCGTTTAGGGATTATTGGATAATACAGAAATTCGAGTAAACGTTAGTATGTCATCACTTTTACAAAAAATGACAATAATTGCTTTTATAGAGCGGAAGAAGTGGTATTTTCATATAACATTTTTGACAGCATTACATTGTCTGGTTCCTAAAATATGTAAAATAACATAAAAATTTTCGGTGACGGCACCAGTAGTAAAAAGTATACGTGAGTAATAGCCGTAAAATAATTAGTTTCATAATGTCTCACGAAAGTTTAATTAATTAAATATGTAAAATGTTTAAAGTAAGATTTGCTAATATTAATCCTCAGGCGCTGCAAGAGGACCCTCCAGAAGAACTCGAATCGCTTCGAGGAAAACGTTCGCCGCAAGTAAGTGTGTACATTTTTATTATACGATTTTGACGAATTATTTTTCCACGAAGAGTTGTATCCACTCCGCTTTGTTTAGTTACTTTAACTTAAAGTTATAACTATGTAATTTTGTTTAGGGTCTCTTGGATAATACTGAAATCAGAGTAAACGTAAGTATACAAAGGGGTGGCATAAAAACTAACCCTGGGTGCTACTAGCGCTAAAATTATTATTTTCAAATATATATGTAAAGAATAATAATAAGAATTTTACAAAAAACAATTATCAGCGCCTTCAAGAGGATCCTCCAGAAGAACTTGAATCGTCTCGTGGTAAACGTTCGCCTCAAGTAAGTGTTTGTATATATTTTTTAAATGTAACAAAACTAAAGGCAAAAGTACAATTACATTCGACCGTAGTGTTCAACTTTTCACAACAGACAGTCGTTTAAATTACTTTTTGTATTCTTCACCGTAGTATTGCGACGAAGCCTTTTTTTTAAATTTAATTGCCAGTTAATTCTTGTAACAAACTTTTTTTTATTTTTAGGGTTTCATGGACAACAACAATAACGGCGTTGTTTTTGATTTCGTGAGTATATCATTCAATTTAATGTTTAAAACATGTTGCTCGCGGGTCCCCTATGTTACTCACAGATAAATTTCCTTTCTAATGGTAAAAAATTTTCAAAATCGACCCAGTAGTTTTGGCGTGAATCAAATACATACAAAAATCCTAAAACACAAATCATTCCTCTTTATAATATTAGTATTGAAGTATAGATATAAAAAAAACATATCCCAATCCCGATCCCAATAACAATAATAACACTTAATAATAGCAAGTTACTCTATATTGTTATGCGATGTATTTTTACTGTTTTTAATGTGATGAGGAGGAATGATTTGTATGTTACAAGGTGAATACATACATTTTACATATTTAATTATTTAAAGTTTCGTGAGACATTTTGTAAGTAATTATTTTACGGCTCTACTTTTTTCGGTGATAGCACCAGTATTAAAAAGTAGACATGAGTAATAGTCGTAAAATAATTAGTTTCATAATGTCTCACGAAAGTTTAAATGATTAAATATGTAAAATGTTTAAAGTAAGATTTGCTAATATTAATCCTCAGGCGCTGCAAGAGGACCCTCCAGAAGAACTCGAATCGCTTCGAGGAAAACGTTCGCCGCAAGTAAGTGTATACATTTTTATTATACGATTTTGACGAATTGTTTTTCCCCGGAGAGTTGTATCCGCTCCGCTTTGTTTAGTTACTTTAACTTAAAGTTACAACTATGTAATTTTGTTTAGGGTCTCTTGGATAATACTGAAATCAGAGTAAACGTAAGTATACAAAGGGGTGGCATAAAAACTCACCCTGGGTGCTACTAGCGCTAAAATTATTATTTTCAAATATATATGTAAGAATAATAATAAGAAATTTGCAAAAATTAATTATCAGCGCCTTCAAGAGGATCCTCCAGAAGAACTCGAATCGTCTCGTGGTAAACGTTCGCCTCAAGTAAGTGTTCATATATATTTTTTAAATGTAACATAACTAAAGGCAAAAGTACAATCACACTCGACCGTAGTGTTCAACTTTCCACGACAGACAATCGTTTAAATTACTTTTAGTATTCTTCCCCGTAGTATTAGGACGAAGTCATTTTTTTTAATTTAATTGCCAGTTAATTCTTATAACAAACTTTTTTGTTTTTAGGGTTTCATGGACAACAACAATAACGGCGTTGTTTTTAATTTCGTGAGTATATCATTCTATCTATACTATTATAATAAAGCGTAAACACCCACTTCTTTGTTGCCTAAGATGTCAGCAATTACAGTATATTTTCGAATAATTCTTTTTTTAAATAATTAGCCCTACACTTATGTCACGCTTTAGGCTATATATTTTAACGCCATTAAATTTAGTTGGTAAATATTTTGCATAAAAACCCTAATGTGGGAAAGAGACCATAAGTTGCTGCCAATATAAAGGAACCAAGGTTGCCATGTTTTGTCATCGTCATTTCATTTTGACATTTGCAATTGATAATTTGACAAAAGTAAACAATAAAATAAAATTTTCATAATTTTATGCGAATGAAGTCGCACGGGAACAGCTAGTTTAATGTATAAAACGTTGCTAGCGGGTCCCCTATGTTACTCACAGATAAATTTCCTTTCTAATGGTAAAACTATTTTCAAAATCGACTCAATAGTTTTGGCGTGAATCAAATACATACAACAATCCTAAAATACAAATCTTTCCTCTTTATAATATTAGTATAGATATAAAACAGAACCCAATCCCGATCCCAATAACAATAAAAACAATTAATAATAGCAAGTCACTTTATATTGTTATGCAATGTATTTTTACTGTTTTAATGTTATGAGGATGAATGAATTGTATGCTACAAGGAAAATACATACATTTTACATGTTTAATTATTTAAACTTTCGTAAGACATTTTGTAACAAATTATTTTACGGCTCTTCATTTTTCGGTGACAGCACCAGTAGTAAAAAGTAGACGTGAGTAATAGTCGTAAAATAATTAGTTACAAAATGTCTCAAGAAAGTTT